TGATTAAACAATAATAACAATTGATAAAAAGAATATTATATACATAAAATTTTTTATTATTAAATATTTTAGTTAAATAGTATTATAGTGATATTTATTTATTTTATCTTTGTTTGTTTATTTATTTTTAGAATTTGAATAAAATAATAATTATATAAATAAATAAGCACTACTACTACTACTATTCCTTTATATTAATATCTAATATAATAATAACAACATTTATAACTATTATTATTATTATTATTGTCGTTGTATTACAATATTATTTGTAGTAGTATTTTATATAAATGAAAAAAAAATTAAATACAAGAAATATTACTGTATCCCAAATTAAAAAAATGAATTTAAAAACAACAACAAAAATAAAAATAATAATAATAATTATAATAATTTTAATTGTATTGAATTTTGTTATATTGATATACAATCAAAACAGTTTTGGCTAAATTGTGTAGCCCTATAAACAAGCACAGCAAACATGGTTCTTAAATAAATAAATAAATACGTAAATAAATAATTATTAAATACTTTACTTTAAAATTATTATTAAATATGGTTTAATAACCATTTTCACAATCTTTAAAGGCGCTATATAAATAAAGGTGACTTGACTTGACTGCGCTTTGGTGTTTTTAAGACCTGGGACAGTTTTGCGCACTTACTACCTGTCGCGTGCATGCGCTATCTAGTGGCCAAGAGTGCAAGTATGGGTATTTGGACAAGGCCGCACACAGTATCTCACCCAGCTGCATGGCGGAGCGCGCCTGATTGACCGTCTGCTGGCTGCACAAGCGCAGGCAGTTCTTCAGATGCAGCTGCGGAGACGACGGGCTGCTGAGCGGCGTGCTGGAGCGGGACGCAGATGCAGACGCCAGCAGGACCGGACTGGAGGGACCGGCGGAGCCCGGGGATCCAGGAGCCTGAGCCTGAGCCGCTCCAGAGAGACACGAGCGCGTCTGACCGACGGCGAACGGAGCCCTGCGGAAACACCCACACACACACACACACACGTTGTGTTTCCATGTTTTATGGGGACTCTCCATAGGCATAATGGTTTTTATGCTGGACAAACTGTATTTTCTATCACCCTACCCCTATACCTACCCCTTACAGAAAACTTTCTGCATTTTTAGATTTTCAAAAAACTATATTCTGTGTAATGTATAAGCTTGTTTCCTCATGAGGACCTAAAAAATGTCCCCACAAGGTCAAAATTTACTGGTATTAGTATCCTTGTGGGGACATTTGGTCCCCATAACGTGATAAATACCAGGTACACACAAACAAACTTTATTTTTGCTGTAATAACAAATCTGCTCTTTTCAAACTGATTTATTTACTGAAATTAGGGGTGGCAATATAGTAAAATAGATAGATTATAAATAATTTAAATGAAATTCCATAATTCCAGAAGTTGAAACTGTTCTTCAGCTTTTACACTTTTTATTATCAATGAATTTAACTGACTTTTCTAGTTGTTTGTGTTTTTTTTATTCACAATTTATATTCATCATAAATACTTCTATAACTTTTTAAGATTTTATTAATTTACATTACTTTCTTCATGTCTAAAAATCTCATTTTTAAAATTCCTACTATTTAAACATTTTTTCTGAAATGTTCCTATGAACGGTCTATAAAACATCCAGATGCACAATCAATAATTGAATGAATGAATAAATGCATCCCATATGTGTGTGTGTGTGTGTGTGTGTGCGTGTATATATATATATATAGTAATGTTTTGCAATAAAACAAAAATGTGATTGATTTGGCATTTGAATCTGAATCTCTTTCCACGGTTTTGTTTTGTAAAGCTGTGTTTTATTGTTTCAGTCTGGTTTTGTGTCAAATCAACATTACTGGATCTGTGTGAATCTGTTCTTTATCATCATCATCATCATCATCATCATCATCATCATCATCAGATGTTTGCAGTTAAACCTTTGCACTGCTGTCTCAAAAACACCTGAAGTAAGGTGTAAATTCAGCGATCCAGTTTTAGACGTGTGATTCTGAGCCGTCGCTCTGGAGGATCGAATCAAGCTGCGTCTGCAGAAACTTCATGTGCAACACGCAAACAAACACCTTCATATCATGCGGTGCAATGAAAGCGGAGAGATAATGAGTCTGAGATGAGGTGAATCCTGCCGAATGTGTGTGTGT